GGGGGGGGGGGGGGGGCTCGTTGGGGGCCCACACCCTTTGAGCTGGTGAGTAGGATGATGTTGCTGGGGCCCGCCCGCATGTACACCCTCACTTGCCCACCACATAAACCCATCATACAGATAACTGAGCTTCCTGAATCTAGACTGCATCTAAGACAGGGCGCAGCATCGCCAGGCGCGCCCTGCAGTCGAAGGTGAGAGACAAATCGGGTCTGACTAGACTGGAGTATAACTCTAGTTCCGTCCTAGCTCACCAGGATCACATGCCTGTCTCCTGAGCGCAGCAACGATGACTAGTCTTCTGCTGTTTTCTTGCTGTTTGTGGTGCTTCTTCTCGGGTCTTTGGTCTCTGTCTCCTCCCTAGAAGGAGAGCGGGTTTCAAGTTCGGGCGGAAGTGATCAGAAGCCCTATACTTATCGTCAAAGGAGATATCACTGTTCCAAGGCTGAAGCTGGCAATGCGTGGATATTTCTGATATGACACCCTAAACCCTAAACCCTAAACCCTAAACCCTAAACCCAATGCTCCCAGGGCTCATGCTGGCAGAGCAGACTGTGCAGGTAGAGAGCTGGGAGCTTCGGGTTCGGCATATATTTGGGGGTTTCCGAAAAAGGGTTTAGGGTTTAGGGTTTAGGGTTTGGGGGTTTCCGAAAATAGGGGACCCTAATATAGTACCCCAAATAGTAGGATCCCTATTGTAAGGACCCCAAAATAAGGTACCCATAATTTTCGGAAACCCCCATTTGAAAGCAAACTCTGACACAGCTGCCTGCCGAACACCCGATACGACTACTACGATGTCGAAGATTGCACCCGAAGAGCCGTAAACGCCGGTTCTGATTCTTGGGCCTTCGTTCAACATCTCTAGACCACCCAGAGCTAGAAGCCAAGTTGCCTCCCTGGGCCAATAAGCACATAATTCTGTGTGCAGAATTATGTGCCCAGAAAGAAGACAGCTTACAACTCCTCATCCACCTGAACTAGCCTGCGCCCCAATAAACCCTCAGCCCAGCCATGAAGCCCGTTGAGAAAGTATTTCCCAGGCCAAGGCCCTAGCCCGAACCCTAATCCCCAGAACGCTTTCCAGAATGACGCAAAGTCCGTTTTCAAAGCGTTAGCTAGGTTGGATCCGAAACCCGCTGAACGAGAACTCTTGGGTACATGTGGTCCGCTTCAACCCAGGCGCCTCCCTGTCCCTGGCAGCTGTGCAGTATTTTTCAACTGCGCTCCCCAGTAGAGTAGACCCTGATTACTAACCCCATTTATAACGGTTGTCATCGGGATCCTAATGCTAGGGTCTTTGGAGAGAGGGCGGTTTATTGATCAGCGGTCTACATCATCCGTACTACTGTTGATGATATAAATCCTGCATTAGCTTGAGGACCCTAAATTATGGTATATGCCTCATTATGGGTAATGCAGGGTTTATATCATCAACCGTAGGAGTACCCCCCCCACTCCTGTTTGTATAACGCTTGCACAGTTTCTGACGGAGGGCTCCCCCAAAAGGCACAAGGGTATTACCGTGGGACCCAGGAAAGTCCCCCCTGAACTCTTTGTATTTAGGGTTTAGGGTTTAGGGTTTAGGGTTTAGGGTTTAGGGTTTAGGGTTTAGGGTCTAGGGTTTAGGGTTTAGGGTTTAGGGTTTAGGGTTTAGGGTCTAGGTTTTAGGCCTCGACGACTCAACAAGCCCCTTGAAGAAATCTCATAGAACACCAGGAACCTTGTATGAAAGCAAAGATCCCACATAGTAGCCTTAGAAAATCTTTTCAGGCACCCTCTAAGACTCTAGAACCCTTCTAATTACGAGCCCTTTATGACTTAGAACCAGGACTTGAATCAACAGATGTGTGTGTGTGTGGGTTTTCCACCACACTGATCTAGGGATTATTGGGGAATAGTCTTGGGTTTAGGGCTTAGGGTTTTATAAGGTTTAGGGTTTTAGGGTGGTAATCATTCCGAGCTCTACCATGAACCCTAAACCCTAAACCCCAAACCATAGCATCGACCCAGGGCCTCCCGCGCATTGAAATGGGCGCCGTTGGACTTGGGACCGCCGTGGAGGAGAACCCGATACTGGCGGTTTAGGGGCCTATGGGGAGTTTAGGATCTAGGGCTTAGGGGTTTAGGGTTTTTGTTACAGGCTTTTTGGGGTTCAGGGTATAGGGGTTTCAGGATTCAAGGGCTTAGGGTTTAAGGGTCGTGTGGGTTTGGGACTGACGCTGCAAGGCCCTGTGCAAGCGTTAAGCCGTATGCAATATTGGGAACCCTGAAACCCAAACGGTTTTGGGGGTACTGGGTTGAGATACTGGTGGTGCTGGCTCTCGAGCTATGGGGCTCTGTTAAGGTCGGAGGAATTGACGTGTTTTGGGTAGTTCTCTACATTTGGGTCCCCTTTAGGGTCTTGTTTTATGAGCGTGCCGTACTATTTGGGCGACTTAAAAAAGGGACCCTGATTCAGAGAACTACCTTTTGGGCGAAGGAGTTGTGGTAATTAGGCTTCAAAGTTCGTCTGTTGGCTTAAGGATGCTTCAGCTGCTTTGGGCCTTGGGGCGAGCTTTTATTGTTTCGGGTGCAGTGGCTGAGTGCTTCGTGCAATTACAATGGTTTGTGGTTTGGGCTCTCGAAGAGCCCTAATGCAGAAGCCATAATCATTAGGATAGAGTTTCGGGGTATATTCTACTATAACCATAATAAGGAACCCCCCAAGAGAGTATTGGCAACCACTGGCTCCTTGAGGAAGCCCCAAGCCGGGAAGCCTTGACCCTTGGCTCTCGACCCACAGGCCCTAAAGTAGTTCCTTTTTGGGTTCATGTATAGAATCCTATAAGGTGACCCCAAAAAGGAACTACTATGGGGCCTATGGGCAAGGCCTCAGGCTCTACTGCCCTTCATCGGCTTGGGCGTCTGGGCTGACTCTGCGCTGCCCCTAAACCCCAAACCCTTAAATTGTATTGGTATGTTTAGGCTCCTATAGTAAACCCCAAACCCTGAAGCTTTGAGCCTAAACCCTAAAACCTCTGCCTTTAAGGGGTGTTGTGTATCTCCTTCGAAGGGGGTTTCGGGGTTCCAGCATTACGTGTTGATGAGGGGGGCTGTATGCGTCCCAGGGCAACGGACTTCAGAGTCTGTAGGGACTCGGAGGTGTGGCTGGCTTAATGTAGGGGCATTAACAATTAGAATAGGGTGTTGGGCTACATTATACTATGACTATAATAAGGAACCCCCAGAATAGTATGCGCAGTTAGTTACGGCCCTATATGATGGTTTGAGCTTTGAGTTTCGCGCGTCTTGTTGAAAGTTAGGGTTTATAGGGTTTAGGAACACTTCCAGGCATTCAGGCAGTCCTCGTATGAACGGAAGTTCTGGTGGTGGAGGAGACTGAATCAGTAGAGTCATATGTGGGGGATTCCGAAAATAGGGGACCCTAATATAGTACCCTAAAAAATAGGATTCTTTTTATAAGGACCCTAAACTAAGGTACCCTTATGTTCGGAAGCTCCCATGTGTAATAGCACAGAGGAGATCCCCCCATCCTCACAGTCCTCTAGGCCCCGCAGCTGAAGGGTTCGGGGCTGAGGACCGGGGGCTGGGGGTCCGCTTAAGTCTTATGTCTAGGACATTTTCAAGTGGGTAGTTGCCGTCATAGGTGCCTGATAGAAGCCCTATAGACCTTATAGAAGCCTTATAGAAGCCATATATACCCCAAACTCCCCACCTGTAGTTTCCTTTAATTATGGGGAACAAGCACGAACTTGAGGATCGGAGCAGTCGTTAGGGGAGCATGCTAGCTGATAGAAAGGACTTATCCCTCGTTGCTGTTGCTATGGTATGATTACTACCTGTACTGTTGTCGCTGATGTCATGGAGGTATAGCCTAGCACTTAGCCCTCTGTATTAAATTGACAGGTTGGTGCTATTGTCAGTGTGACCGTTACTCTAAAGTTACCAACACTCAGACTCTTGTTCCTCCTGATATTTTGTCATCACGAACTCCGCAACATCTTCGGCTATTTCAGGCCGAGATTAGGGCCCCGGTGCTCTCTGAATGTCCCAATTCAGTTAAAGCCCCAAGTCTCCAAGAACTTTGAGCAGAGCCTAGAGGGACTTCCAACTGACCCAACAGACGCTTCATGGCTCTAAAAAAAATATATGTATACATACAGAAAATATATATGTATATATATATATATATTTTTTTTCTTTCAACTTGCAGGTGGCCTCATGGTAAGGTTTTGGGCTTAGGTTTAAGGGTTCAGGATTCAGGTGAAAAGGAGCCCTCGGTCATGGCTTGCCTCTCCACCGGGCACATAGCCCTCTCGTTCCAGAGTTTCCTCTTCAGCTCGGGGATTATTAAGCCCTAAGCCACAGAGCACTCCCTTCGGGTTGTTTTAGGGTTTAGGGTTTAGGGTTTTAGGGTTTAGGGTTTAGGGTTTAGGGTTTTCGGGTTTAGGTTTTAGGATTTAGGATTTAGGGTTTTAGGGTTTAGGGTTTAGTTTTGGTTGGGTGTTAGTTGTGGTTTAGGGTTTTCCGGGTGGCCTGTATCAAGTGTTGCAAGTTCTTGGCGAAGACGTCTACTGGCTTTCAAGCCATTGGGGCCTGAATACTACGCCTCAGTCCCCACCTCCATGCCAGACCTATATCACAACGAATCTCCAGCCGGGCCGAACAGCACTAGTCTCCACATCCCATACACTCTAGACAGCATGATCCCCATTGCCTAAACCCTAAACCCTAAACCCTTCCCCCTAAACCCTAAACCCCCAAACCCCAAGCCCCTAAACCCTAAACCCTATTGCCACTACCCTACCATCTGAAACCCTTACATGAATTTGATCTTCAAAGCCCCCCAAAAAGCTATGTACCCTGCAAACATCTACACAACCCGGTACTCAAGCCCACATCCTGTGAAACCCTCATAAACAACCGTGATTGCAAGCCTACAAAGCACCTCTGAAACCGACAAGAAACTTTTTTGGAAGAGTGGGAGGTGTATAAAATTTTGAATAAGGCTTTGACTTAAGTGTACTGTTACTATCATCAGATAGGCATGCTATCTCTACTTGGTTGGCCCCCTGTGGTAATGTAGGGGCCTTAACAACTAGAATAGGGTTCTGGGGCCCATTATGCTATAGCTATACTAAGGAACCCCCCAAAACAGTACCGGTAAGTATAGGTAATTACCCTAAACCCTAAACCCTAAATCCCTAAATCCTAAAACCTAAACCCTAAATACCTAAACCCTAAACCCTAAACCTGAAACCCTAAACCTCAAACTGCAATTATTGAGGCCCCTACGTTAGCTTAAGAAACCCTTGCGAGCTCCTCGATGAAGCCGACGAAGGTCGAATCTTCCGAGCTCACTTCGGACGTCGCCTAACTTCAATCGCTTCCTTATGGGATTCCTTAAAGGGGTTTAGGGGTTTAGGGCTTCCTTATGGGATTCCTTAAAGGGGATTCCTTAAAGGGGCTTAGGGTTTAGGGCTTCCTTATGGGATACCTTCAAGTGGTTTAGGGTTTCCTTATGGGATTCCTTAAAGGGGCTTAGGGTTTAGGGCTTCCTTATGGGGTTCCTGAAACGGTTCCTGGAAGGTGTTGCTTAAAGAGTGCTTGAAGTGGCTGCTGAAAGGGTTCTTAAAGGGGTGCAAAAAGATGTTGAGGGTTTACAGGTTTCAAAGCGGGTTCAGGGTTCTACGGTTGATGATGTTGTATATACATCCTGCATTACCCATAATAAGGAAAATACCATACCTCCTAAACTAAGGGTCCTTGAGGTAATGCAGGGTTTATATCATCAACAGTAGCTCACGGTTCAGGTTTTGGAGTGTCGGGTTCGGGTTCGCGGCATGGGGTTTCGGGAGCGCGGGTGAGTGTAGGGTTGGGGCTTGGGGGTTGGGGTTTAGGGTATAGTGTGTACCGCAATCTTCCATTACAAGTTTTAGGGTTTAGGGTTCAGGGGATATGATTAGGATGTCATCCTAATCATATTTTCTAAGTCCTAAACCCGAAAACTTGAAATGATGTGCTGTTGTGGTCTTGAGAGGGTTTCATACAGGTTTAGGCCTCAGGGTTAGCCGATAGCCCCAAGTCGCCCACACCCTTGTTTCAGGCTCGGCTCATAAGCCTAAACCCCAACGCGGTTTAGGGTTTAGGGGTTTAGGGGTTTAGGGTTTAGGGAAACCCAAAATCCTAAACCCCGAAGCCCTGAGCTAAACTGAACCCTGAACCCTAAACCTTAAACCCTATAAGCCCCAAAACCCTAAACCCTAAAAATGGGCCTGAGCCCCTACGGGCCTAAAACCCATGTGCCAAAGCCGAATACCTTAAGTAGGGTGCCTTAATGCGGCCAGCGGTTCGAAACCCCGAGTTCTTCAATCTATGCAGGTTGTGCATTCCCCCAAAGGGTGCTAGGTACTGTTTTGGGTGATACTTTACTAATTCATAAATATAATTCCAAATGTAGAAACCCTACATTCTACTATATAGGAATACAGGACTCTTTGGGTACCCTTAATCTAACGTAAGCCCAGCGTCATCCAAGGTGTCCGTCACGAGAGGTCTGTCCTGCAGGCTTGCGCGAGGAATTACAAACGGCCCTTGATTTTGCAAGCGCTTTACTTGCTCTATGTCTGGGAGGGTGCCGCAAAGGTCTTAAAGCGTTTGCATAATGTAGCGGCCTTAATCATCAGAATAGGGTTTTCGGGGCTTCCTTATTACAATTCTAATATACTATACCCCAAACCCAGTTATTAAGAAACCCTAGACCCTAGACCCCAAGCCCTAAACCCTATACCCCAAACCCAGCTATTAAGGCTCCTATACGTAGTTTTAAAAACCAGGCCAAGCCCCTCGAGCCTTACACGCCTTGCACAATCGAAGTCCGGAGCCCTGCGCAGCCAACACTTCAAGGGGCCTAAATCATTACCAATATTATTTTTCGGAGTTCCTCATTAGAATTATAGTATATTGGTTGTTCCTTATTAGAATTATGGTATAATGGGCCCCAAAACCCTATTCCAGTTTTAAGCCCACAAACTACCCTTAGCCCCGAAAGCTGTTCAGAAGCCTATAGAGCCCTTCTAGGACCAACACAGGAACTCTCAAAAGAGAACCTAAGTCCGACGTCCCCAACCCAAAACAACCCTTAAGGCTTACCTGGGGAACCTAAAACCTATCGTTTTTCAGGGTTCCATCCGCTAGTTAAGGGGTCATAACCTACTATTTTGTAGGGTTTGGAGTCACAGGTAGGGCTTGGGTTTAGGGTTTAGGGCTTAGGTAGGGGTTTTTGAGGTACAGGGGGTTAGCTTGTAGGATCCTAAATATCTAACTGGTTCATCAAAACAAAGGACTGCCCCTAAACCCTAAACCCTACGCGCCTAAACCCTTAACTACCGTAAAAGCAATGGAGAAACGCCACAGGGAAGGTCCCAGGCCTGGCGGAGAGCATATTGCGACTCCGGGGGGACGTCCTCTGCTGAGGTGGCTGCCTTGCAACTTCCCTTTAGGCCGAGCGGCTTGGGACTTCGATTGCCTAAATGTACGGCTCATATAGGGTCTACGTTCATGATTTTCGGATGTTTGAGGATTGCTCATAAAGGTTCCTGAATTTAGCTCAGGGTTCATTCAGGGTATTTTTCGGTGCTTATGGGGCTTTGTTTAGTCAGGGTTTGGGGTTCAAGGTTTAGGGTCTTTGGCCAAGGGCTCCTATGTGGTTCCTTTTTGGATCGTATACTACAATTCCTTGCCAAAACACCATAACAGACCCAAAAAGGAAAACCCTAAACCCTAAACCCTAAACCCTAAACCCGATGGCTTGTGAGGATAGGGTCCCCAACGAGTTTTGAGACGCTGCCGCAGTGCGCTAGAGCCCACACCCCGACATCCTTCTAGAGGCAGATGAAGACCATCATACAGGCTAACATTATAGGGCTTCATAATCAGAATAGGGTTTTGGAAGAAAATATACAGTATATCATACTAGATATCTATAACACGGAAGCCTAGGAAATGATACACGCAAGTATTTCTCTGCATTTTTGTTAGGAGAGCTGGGAACATAGGCCCGAGATGAACACTCCCGCACCCCGAAACAAAGACTGCAATAGCCATGCGGATAAAGTGAGAGTGGTTCGAGGACCGCGCTGTTGCCGTCGATGTAGCCTTCTCCTGGCCATCCGAGCAGCCTCAGGATCCATGTGTGCAGGCTCATCCAAGCGGGAGCGTTGTTGGCTTACCCATAGGCCCCATAGTAGTTCCTTTTTGGGGTTACCTTATAGGATTCTATACATGAACCCAAAAAGGAACTACTTTAGGGCCTATGGGTAAGTTTTAAGGGTTTGGGGGCTTAGGAATTGACGCGGTCGGGCCTGGCAACATTAGCACTGAAAGGGCGCGACCATGATTGGCCATGCTCGCCCTAAAGTAGTTCCTTTTGGGGGTTCATTTGTAGAATCCTATAAGGTAACCCCAAAAAGGAACTACTATGGGGCCTATGGGTACTGTCAAATCCGAGTCCTCTCCTCGATGGTCACCATCACCTGCCTCAGCAAAGCCACCACCGACATAATCACTGCCATCGTGATCCATCCCATCGTCAGCAGCCTCACCATCTGCATCGTCCTCAACGAATGGACAGCACCATCATGACTCTCATCTTATGCATCACGAACCAAAATATCAACAGCAACGTCATCGCCACCACGGGAGACGGCCGCGGGTGGATGAAGACAGCAAGCTGTATCGAGGCGCAAACTCAAGCCACCGCCTGGTCCCACCAAGGTCTCTCACATATCCTTGTTAATAGGACTCTACAGAGGTTTTAGGTTTTCAGACTCTATAAAGGTCTCAGGTTTTCGTAAATGATTTGTATGTATTTCGAGCTAAGGAGACTCTTAACAGATCATAGCATCAGGAATCATGTGGAGTCCTTGGCTCGATCTTGTTTAATGATACAGACCCTAAGGGTCCATGTACTCATATAGCATATACATGGGCCTTAAAGTACCTCTATAGGGACCACATTAAGGGGAATGTATATACTATAGCAGTACATGGACCCTTAGGGAGAATGCAAACACCCGGGGCGGATAATGCGGAGCAGGGATTCAGGTGCAGCCGTTAGCTGGCCTCCAATCAAGAACAGTCAACTCAATGTCAAATCCCTAAACCCTATAAGGGTTTAGGGTTTAGGGTTTAGGGTTTAGGGTACCCTAAACTCTATAAAGCTGTAGCAGGCTGAGGCTTAAAGACACGCAACCATCACCAGCATGTGCCGGCAGTTGAACCCTGAACAATGAATCCTACTCCGAGAGCATACGGACGGCTCTTGGTTCGGGTGCACTTTGAGATCCCCCGAAACACTGCTTCACTCAAAGAACCCAGACTCCCTAAACCCTATTAACCCTCAACCCCAAACTTCGAGAACCACTCGGGTGTTTCGGATTTCGGAATTGAAAACTTCTGGGTCTGGCGTTTCAGGTCTGGGGCCTTGCACGCCTCGGGCTTCAAGAACTTAAACCCGTAAGACCTAAATCCCCCGCTTAGGGGCTCTTTAGGGTACTATATTAGGGTCCCCTATTTAGGGTACTATACTAGGATCCCCTATTTAGGGTACTATACTAGGATCCCCTACTTAGGGTACTATACTAGGATCCCCTATTTAGGGTACCCCTAAACCCCTAGACCCTAAACCCTAAACCCTAAACCCTTACACCCTAAACCCTAAACCCCCCCATCCTATGCCCGGCTAGGACTCGGTTTTCAGCTCCGGACTCGGCTTTTCGGAGGGCACTGCCGGATGGCTCGACTCCTGGCAATGATGGGCTTTGGGGTTTAGGGTTTAGGGGTTTAGGGTTTAGGGGTTTAGGGGTTTAGGGTTTAGAGGTTTAGGGTTTAAGGTATAGGGGTTTAGGGTTTAGGGTTAACCAAGGAGGCCGGTAGTATGTACCTAGACCCCCCAAGGTAGGTAAAATCATGGTCCAAGACCCCCAAAAAGGCCATGAGTCTCCATACCTTTGGAGGGTCCAGGTAGTAGCGGTAGGTAGTCGCCGAGCAGCGTAAAATCTTGAACCCTGAAGCTCACGACTCTCAAAGCCGAAGGTTAGGCAACGGCGCTTCTCCTAGGGTCTGGCTTTTTGATGGTACCTTGCCCGAAGCTATGAATAAATATAGCATGTTCAATATATATATATATATATACACACATGTAGTATAGTTACTACAATCTTCCTGAAAGCATACTTAAGAGCCCGGACGAACTTGAAGGAATAATTTACATCATAGAAGAGGTCCAGTCTGTGCTCAAAGGCCTGAACTAAGAGTTTGAGGTGTTACCTGCGCACTACGGTTTAGGGTTTGGGGCTTAGGGTTTAGGGTTTAGGGGCTTAGGGTTTAGGGGCTTAGGGTTTAGGGGCTTTGGGTTTAGGGGTTTCTTGGCCCGAGCCTCTGTTGTTACAAACCCTCTGAGACAAGTGACAGGCAATGTCATCTCTGGATGGGCAACTGTCAAGTTTTGAAAACAAACAAAACCCCAAAGCCCACACTACCCTTGAATTTAAACACTGCTTCAAACCCAGGCTAAACTCCAAAGAACACTGGTCATGCAACCAACGGCCCCCCCAAAGCTACACTCGAAGTGAATTTCCAATTCCTTCTAGCCACAACCTGCCACACTGAGGCACAATTTCTCCATGCGCACCCTTCGTCAAAATCCCGTGCCAAACTTCCCTGGACATCGACAATGGTTGACCTGTGCTTGTAGACCATTGGCGCGCGCGCCTCCGCATTGGCAGTGGACTCCCTGGTGGACTCCACCGGCCTCAAACACGAAACTCCGAGACCCCCACTGTACCCTTAAGTGAGCCTCTGTGGTAATGTGGGTATTTGTGGATGAATAGAATGTAGGGGCCTTAACAATTAGAATAGGGCTTGGGGTACGTTATACTATAAGTATAACCAGGAACCCGCAAAACCCTATTCCATAATTACCCAGGGCTCCGATGTAGTTCCTTTTTGGGTCTGTTATGTTTTTTTGGTAAGGTATTATAGCATACTATCCAAAAAGGACCTACATAGGAGCCCTTGGGTATTAAGGCCCCTACAGCAAGTTGTCGAACTTGGGGCCAGGGCAGCCTTAAGCTTGGTGCCAAGGCTCAAATCCTAAGAGTTCGGGGTTTGTGGGTTTAGGGTTTAGGGAATCAGGGGTTTAGGGTTCAGGGGTTTAGGGTTCAGGGTTTAGGGTTCAAGGGTTCAGGGTGCAGGGTTTAGGGCTTTAGGGGTTTGGGGTTTAGGGTTTAGGGTTCTTTCCACTGCAGCCTCAACAACTCGATGATAATGCATGTACGTACGTATGTATGTATGTATGTATGTATGTATGTATGTATGTAGTTATGTATACGTATGTGTATGTGCATGTGTATGCATATGTGTGTGTATGTATGTGTAGGTAAGTAAGTAAGGTAAGTAGTAAGTATGCATGTATGTAGG